GTCAGTGAAATGCTGGAGCACATCACAACGCACAATACGTTCACTGAGAGAAGCGCAATCCGAATAGTGTGTCTCGGAAGTTGGACGCAGAAGCACTTCGTTGTCGCGCATATCATTGATGGCAATATTGTTACGAACCTTGCAGTTCTTATTGTCCCAATCATGAATCTATCAGCACGTATCATTTTCATCGCCAGCGTGACAGGAGGTATCCTTGGGGATGTTCTGAGACTTGATGTCCATCGCCGACTCGTGAAGGATGCCAGAATGTCGCTCTTGAGTCTCAATGTCGATCTGCAAGCCGACGGTCAAAAGATGGCGGCGGTCGTGGACACAGGCTCGTCTGCCCCCTTGTGGGTGTGGAAGGATTGGTATGAGAAAGAGCTCGGAGTAGGAGCATGCGAAAAGCTGGTCTTCAAGTGCTATAAATGTCCGCAGGGTTGTGTACCTGGTGAAACCACGACTATAACGTTTGGAAACAGTATAGCAGTAACAGTATTTCAGCATATCGGAGCAGTACAATTTGGTTCGACGACAGTCAGAGACATCAAGTTCGGTCTGATAACAGGCTATAACCCTCCCCCCACTGTATACGTGCCGCACCCTATATTCGGCCTCGGACCAGTCCGTGATCCAAACTACCCCTCTATTATGGCACAATTAGTGGGCCGGGAGCTTATCAAGGAGAGCACATTCTCCTTCTATTTGAAGCCCGAAACCCTCTTCAAGAAGGGCTTCGATGAAGCACTCCTTCTCGGTGGAGGCGATCCGAAACTCTACAAAGGCCAGCTGAGATATGTGCCGATTGTGGTTGCAAACCATTTCGAAGCGATGCTGGAGGGGCTACAAGTTGGTACTGGGAAATCTACGTCTCTCAAGGAAAATGTTATCTTCGACACCGGCAGCAACTACTTGTATGTTCCGGACTCTAGAATGGTGGAACTTCTGAAGGATATTGAGGAGCAAGCGACCCTGAAAGCGAAGACCCAAGTCAAGCTTACATACTTCGAGGCCGCCAACGTTTGGGAGGTCGACTGTGTCTATCGTAAATTCATGCCGACGCTAAGATTCTTGTTTCAAGACTCTGCAGGCCAGGAGGTCGCGCTCGAGCTCGACTATAGGAGCTATGTTGCTATGCGAAGCGGAGTATGCTATTTGGAAATAATGGGCAAACCACAAAGTATGTGGATACTTCCTGACATCATGCTGGTTGCCAACTACCTCGAATTTCAGCCTGATCAGGAGAGAGTTGGCATGGCCAGACTCAAACTGTGAGAGATCGAGCGCAGTCGGAAGCGCCAACGTGTGGGACAAGTCTTCTAGTATGCGCCCACTAAGCTTTTGAGTAGATTACGGGTCCTACATTGATTTCTCTTCTTTCATTGGGATCCATCATTATCAATTTGAGAATATAAGACTTCTCAACAGGAGTTGATATTTGGTTGCGAAGTGGATTCTGTGCGAGTTTCGCACTGCGAAACAACCTGTCTGCCAGCGATTCCAGCGAGAACTTGCTCTCCGAGAGTTTGATCGAACCTTCCCCATGCGCTTACAGAAAAACTGGACAAGTACCCCACTCAGATCAATGACCTGGCAGTTCCCAGTTTTGAGAACCCTTACAATGGGAACTCCAGTTTGAGACAATTGCCGCGTGTGACGCTATCTTGTTCTTTTACTAGTGGTGTCCACAACGTGGCACGGGTCTGGCTGTGATGCTGAGCTCGACCACTATGAGGCTCATAGTATGAGCCGGGAGGTTTTCTCGACCGGCACTCAAATCAGCACATAGAAGACTCCCTAATGGGAGAGAAAGTCAAAAAAGACCTCTAACCAATTATGTGGGCAATACCTTTGGCGCGTCTGAATGCTGTAGAAGCAATCCTCCCGAGCAACTTAGGAGCAACCTTTGTTGCTACATTACCCGGCATTCACCTTGACACCGTAGCGGTTTTCAGAACACTGCGATAACGTTTAGAATCTTCAATCGCGTGAGGTCTTACCCCTACCAGCCAGAGATATAACTTTCGACCTGCAACTCGCCGGCTGGAACCTCCAGCCTGGAAGAGTAGGCAGTCCTGTGCACCTATTCAAGATCTTCTGAAACACTGAATCGTGGGCATATCGTCATCATAAATGTATGAAAAAGAAGGTCACTTTTCCACCCCTCACTGTATGGTGCATAGATTGATTGCGTTAGTAATGAAGAAACCTCAACTCATTGACCCTGCCATGCCCCTCGTCCACGACTTCAACGCAGGGTGTCTGAAAAAGGAATCCAAAACGGCGGAAAGCTTCATAGAAAACTTTCCGGGGATTTTTCCGGAAGTTTGGGAAAGTTTCCACAATTGGCGGGGAAAGGATATATAGAGCAAATGCATATTTAGAGCAAATGAGTTGACAGTGTCAACTTGACACAATTCATTCTTGCAAGCCTCCGCGGGGTCCCCGCGGCGGGGATCATATTAAACTTTCTGTTTGCTGAATCAACTACTACGAAATTTGCCGCGGGTCGTCTTCGCCATATCTACGAGTGAATGCATATACCGGCGACCGTCAACAGCGTCTCGTTCTACTACTCCTTTATGCTGCATCATGACGCCAGTGGTGCCGCGTTGCATATGATGGGACTCAACATGATCGTATTCCATCCCTAACTTAGATTTGGATAACTACTCCATCTGGAGTCAGTAGACTTCCTTTGGAAGAGCCAGGAAGTGGGAACGGCTGTAAGACTAGCTGGTACTGCTCAGAGTGACCCAGGCGTGGTCACAGTTACTCAACAAGCTCAATCCGATGTTGTTGACGGACCTGATGTTACTTTATCATCAATAGAAGAAGAAGCTCCGCTAAAGTTGTCGACTATTGTGCCTCCACGAGACAAGGCTGGTCTCATAGATGCAAGAGGTCTCGGAGATGCTGATGACTTATTGAGTGGGTTGTCTCCGAGTGAACTACAGAACCACCTGGAGGGTTATTCAAAAATTTTAAAGATACTCGGTCGGTTCTCTCCTTCCTACATGAGTGTGAACGCACTCCTTCGTGGGATATTGGTTATGGCCCAACAAGGATATTCCAGTTATCGCAAAGCTGCTCGGCGAGCTGGATGTATTCGATCTGAGTTGGTGGAACGTTTTCTTTCTATAGAGTCCCATCGTATAATATACGACGTATATTGATTGATCGATAGAGGAGACTCAGTTGGGATACTAAACGCGAGACCCTCGATCAGCTCAATTTAAGGTTTGATTATATGCGAGTGCCAGTTGATTCACAACTACGTGTGCCTTTGACTACAGACGACGTATGTGATCGACTCTTCGGTAGTTTCCTTATGATATTTGTGAAGATATTTTGCATCGTCATGGTAACGTACCATCACTAGAGCAACTGATTCAATCAGTCTGATTGAATATGGTAAGCGTCATAATGCGGTACTGGTTCGGCGTGCTGCTATAACCGGACGATTGTCCCGTCAAGCCGCTGTTGATGTTATGGATAGCGACCCAGTGGTTACGACGCCTGCTGATTCGGCGATGAATACTAGTGAGGCTGCTCATAATTGTCGACTGTTCATGATCAACCTGAGTTATGATGTTAGTAAGAAGCAGGTCCTTGATGCACTCAAGACTATTCTGAAGCTTTCTGGGGTATCCCCTGTGTCTATTCGCCTATTTCGTGACCGTAATCGTCCTGGTCGTAATCGCGGTATTGATATCTTGGACTTTCGTGATGCTTCTAGAGATACTAATGCTCAATCTTCTACACTTTTTCAGTCTCAAATTCAGCATATGAAAGAACAAACTAGGAAAATGGAATATGATTTTAGTCGGACGGAAGGAGATTTTCCCCGAATGAAAATTCAAATTCAAAAGGAAAGTTGTATTTTCGTAGACTACCCGGAAATGAAAGTTCAAATGCGAGAATGAAATTTATGACTTCGGAAACACAAGTTCAAATTCGTTAAACACAAGACCAACTTCGACCAGTGAGAGCTTATTTTCATCACGTCTCGAAAGCACTATCCACACTACACAAGTTGTGCAAAGCGTACTTGCGGTACTCCCATTGTGCACAGTTATCGCGCCCTCTAGATGAGGGCTGCAATGCTCGAGGAGAGTGCGACCACCTCCCGGTACCTATGAGAGAACGCATGCAATCCACCACCACAATGATCACGGTGCGGGAAGTGCTTACTTCGCTGAACCTGCGATGGCGCGGAACTCATCGGGGGAGTCACTACGCCAGATGAACCTAATAACACTCTTGGAATCAAGCAGATACTAAAACTACACGAACGATCAACGCAGTTAGTTCAGTGCCAGCCCTAGATTGACCCTGATCTCGCACTATATGATACTCAAAGGCATATGAGAGATAGATATTCCTTTCAGAGATAGACGATTCTTAGCGTCAGTTGCTTCCGACTCTGCACCACTGCAGCAATCCGTCAGAGCATCTCTATAATTAACACCAATCTGCGCGAGAGTCGTCACCTTCCCCATATGGCAAGTATAGTCACAGTAGAAGGACAGTGATAGCGTAAGCCTACACTTTTCCACTCTTATCTGATGCCCCACTGCACATGCAGCCTGATGATACGCTGGTAATGTCAGAGTCGTCTGGGAGATCGAGTTTCCGGGGTGGCACACATTCCAAACTACCCGTCGTAGTCGTTGGTGGTAGACCTGATAGCTCTAACCTATGCAACGGCTAACTACACAGGAATAGCTTACCGATGAGAGAAAGGAGTGGTAGCCCATCCATGTCATCCTCCTCAGTTAAGGAGTGCTCAGAAATACTGACAGCCTCGGCACCGTCTCTGAGAATGTTCTGCTCGAAGAATTGGCATTTCGCGTTAGCAACGAAGATTCTCGCGCTGTAGTTCGCACGAAATATAAGCGCAGCCTCGAGCTGTCATACTGTGGATGAAATCGATCAATCGCTCTAGACGACAACTCCGAAGGCGTTTTTGACCGACGAATCTCGAGCATGCTTCACTCTTACTGTTGCAACTTCGGCTCGCTTATGGGACTCGGACCAACACCGGCTTGGAAAACGTCACCTGGGGAGGTGAGTAGCACTGTCACCCAGTTCCCGCAAGATATGCTCTCGATGGGGACCTAGACACAGCGAAACGAATCAAGTTCAGTTTTTGCACGCCGTCCTATTACCGTGCTCTGCAATAAGTTCCATCCGCCGTCCAGCGACACCCGATCACCGGTACCTATCACAAGAGGAACGAAATGCGCTGCTGATCTCAAAGTGATAGTACGAGGTTAGTACCTAGCTCGCCATGCTGATTATTCCCAGTAGACGCCAATTGATTGGGCTCTCGACTTCGAACCCAGGTATGAGCGAAGCCTGATGATACTTGTTTGACATTGAAGGTTGGCGATATCGATACCATCACTGGCTCTTGAACGCTCTCAGCATGCGATGATGGTATCCCTAGCTGACCATATCTGCATCCAGCACAAAGACTAGAAGTTTCGCTCGAACACAGCTCCTCTATTCACTTGATGGAGGATGCGAAGTCCGAATGACCCATGGTATGAGCGGAAAATTAGGTTCCCCAGTTTCAAGCTATCACTTTGCGCAATTTTCAAGAAGCAAATAAGTAGCACAATTGATGTATGAGGGTCAGAGTAGGCACGATTATGGGGTAAATACACTCTGTGTCCGGCCGAACTCCAGTTCGTCATCTCGCAGGCATGATTTACGAATGCTCAATCGGATGGCATAGTGCTGAGGAAGTCACCTCACGAAGCATACCTGTTATCTCCCCACGCCCAAAGCTCTCCATTGACCGTAACGGCGAATGAACAGAAATACCCGCATGCAATGGACTCTATGGGCTCCACGGGCATACAAGCAACAGGAGCAAGCTCGGAATCAATCGAGCCTTCAGAAATCGATCGGCCCAGCTGACACTGCAACGACGAGCTCCATAGACTACTAACATTCGCATTCTACTTACATGCTCATTGCTACCAGTAGAATATAGGCGTCCATCTTCCGACAGTACGAGGGTGTGCTCAGCACCACAGGCAACAGATTTAATTCCGAATGATGTGGTATGAATTTTGCTGATCCGCTCACTTAACGGGCTCACTATGTATCTGTAGGAGTGAAGATATGGGAAGTGCAATTATGGGGCAGTTATGCCACTTTAGGCTATGGCTAGATAGAATTAAATTCTTCGGCCGGGGCAGCTATGCCATCCAAGACAAGCCTCTGTATAGTCAATTAACTCTCGCTGGAGCAACTGTGACTTAGTAGAAGTAAATTCCACGGGTAGAGAAACTATGTCATCCCACGTCATACCCCAGTAGAGCCAATCTCTCCTGCTGGGGCAACTATGCCATCCCACGATATACCCCAGAACAACTGGTTTTTTAAGCCGGGGCAACTATGCCGTCCCACGATATACCTCAGCAGAACCAACTTCCCCCGCAGGGTCAAGTGAAAATACCGAAGGTATGACATTAGTAACGCTAGTCCCGCTCGGGGCAGATATGCCAACTCAGAAATCCATCGCGACGTACGACGTTGCAGCAAGAAATCACGGTAGGTCGCCATGATGGGTCGGAAGATACACACCAGTCCCGGTTGATTTTCCCACCTCGAGTGCGAACGAGATCGATTGTACTAATGTGTATCTTGGGATGGCATAGCTGCCCCAATCGGTACCCCTCACTGAGAGCGAGATATCGCTTTAAAGGGTATAGAATCAATTGCATAACTGAGAAGCCGCTCTAGGACAACAATCAAGGAGTGGAAATAAGACTCCTGAATTGACAAGTAGATAGTATTACTCGCTGAGCTTGAAAGCTCTGTCGTTCCCCTTTCCTCCAAAAGCCAGTCGATGCCGGCAAGCGCTGAGTGATCCCAGTGGACCCAACAAGGGGGAATTCAGAGATTTTGTAGGTTTATTGGCATCATAGGAAAGGATGTCAATGGACACCTTCGAGCTGGGCATTAGAAGATAACTACAGTTATAGACCTTCGCCTACTATCTAAGCGTCTGCATGCTGCTGATGTATGCACACATATCCTCATTATTCCGCGATGTATATGTTCTTGCGTACACGGTCGCCCGAAAAATGTATTCCCTGGGATTTGAACTCGCAACTCTTTCCCATGACAAATCTTATTATGGCACCGTATTGAACTCAAGTCCTGACATACCTCCAGCAGCTCCTCATCTCATTTCAGCCTCCAAATGGAAGACCCTGTTCCTCTCTCTCTCGAGGTTATATCAAAGGGGCTCACCAGGTTGGAGCGTAATACCTATTGACGTTATCTATCCTGCCTGATATACTATACGGCATAGTGTTAGTGTAGTCATGAAATTTGATAGTCCAGTTACGCCTACGATGAACCTGAGGCATGGTAGCTTAACGATACCTCACGATCGTTCAAACTCGCTCCTCTGACCTCCGTAAGTCTCCTGATCACTCGTCAGGTACGGTCGACGGCAGCGGCTATGCTTTTATCCGCCTAGACTGTTCCGAAAGAGGGCTTACAGATATCACAGATGAGATTGACGAGCTGAAGCACCTCCGGTAGGAAACAGTAGCTCACTTCTATGCCTCTTATGCTAGCTTATTCAGGCAAGTGATTCTGAAGTCCAATCATATAGGAGATGCATCCAAGCTGTCGGTCCTGCCTCATCTGTTGTCATTGGACCTCAGTCACAACAAGCTCACCGCTATGGATGGGCTCTTCCAACCCGAAGTAGTACAGCTACCATCGTGCTTGATATTCCATAGTGATCCCCTTCAAGTTTAGTAATCACGATGCTGTACAACAGTAATTCAACCATACCCGGTGATATTACATAGAAGGATCATCACTCAGCCACATCGTCTCTGTATCATCTCGCTGCCTTCTTTATCCATGCCCATCATCATCGTTATGGTTGTCTCAGTGTCTACAATGGTGCCAATACATCGACATCTCCCACAACTCCATCATATCGATCTGCCCTATAGCCGCTATGCCCAGACTCAGAGTTCTTAAATTGAACGCTAATAACGTCGAGGATGCCAGCCGGTTAGTCCCTATCAGATCGCTTCGGAAGCCCTTTATTCACCCCAGGATTTCGGCCGATGGCCACCCTGCTCTGGAAGAACTCGATCTGAGCGAGAACTCACTCAAGACTTTGGATGGCCTCAACAATATGCCTAAACTCAAGTGGGATGACATTCACCATTGAGCAGTACCGAATCTTCCAGAGGAGGCATATCCCTCAAAACTTGTGTATAATTTCCCGTGGAGCTTCAGTACTAGATTGTATGCGATCTATAATTTGAGGCATAATGATTGTTACGATACTTGGAGTACGAGATCGTGTGAAACGATTGGTCCTACTTGTTCGGTATGGATCATTTTCCAGGTTCCTGAAAGCCTCGTCCAATCAGCTCACTCACATAGGGGAGAAGGCTCTTCTAGGGCTCGACGATTTAGAAGTGAGTGAAAACAGCTGATTGATCTACATGATGACATCAGCTGCTTGACTTGCATGATGCTAATACTCTGTTGACGATCACTGGCAAGCCCATTGAGAAGGCCGAACACGAGGGCGAGGTTGAGGAGGAACAACCACAGGAAGAACAAGAAGAAGTAATAATGGCTCCCTCATGAGGAGGCACTAAAGTTCTGAGGAATAGAATGACTTCGGAAGTGCCCCTTCTCTCGATTGGGTGTAGGATGTTCATCGTTCTGAATAGATACCTCCGCCATCACCAAGAAGTCTGCCCAAGTTCCCATCGCTCCCTTCGCTGAAGACTCTCAATTTAAGCTCTACCCAGTTTGGTGCTGACAGAGCGACTCAGATCCTAGCTGAGATCTTCACGACTACTGATGGCCATCGTGCTCTACCTGTAAGAATTGTTTGCTAACCTGTCGGTGATGATGATAACATTATGTGGTATCGCTGAGGATTTGGACCAATCGACTTGTCGTATTTCTGCTGCTCCTCTTTAGCATCACTACGATGTTTTAGTCGGCACTAGCATAGGCGACTGATTCGAGATTATTCTTAAAGCTATGGACTCGCTGATCTTCTCAGAAGCTGACAGATATAGATTTAAGTGATACCCCAGCACTCACTGCTATTGGTGATGACGTGAAGGCCGAGCTCATACTGGTACTACCCAAGACATTGCGAATTGTCAATGGAGAGGTAATGATAGAATAATGTCAATGATGGATAACGCATCGGTTCTTGAAGATGTTTGTTTGGATTTTGAGAGCTCCCTCTGGCTTGTATTTTTATAGTTTTGGATTGAGTCGCGCATAATACAGGTACTCACTCTCGACGACTTGAAAGCTTCCGAGGACCTTCACCTAGCCAGAGTTGCCGAGCAGGAAGAGAAGGAACGTCTAGAGGCGGAGGTAGTGAAGTACTCTTGACCATCTGAAGTTAAGATATCGAGTTGATAGCCGAGCACATTTCTAGTGCAGAAATGCACTAGAAGAAATGTAAAAGAGTACTTAAATTTCTAGGCATTTCTAGAAATGCCATAGAAATGTGCTTGTAAATTCTCGTGCACAGACATTTCAAGAATAAATTCAACGTCTCTGAGATGTCAAATCATGAGCAAAATTTCTCTCAGCCCTTCTTTTCCGGTTTTTTGGTATTTTGTTTCCTGTATTTGAGGCTATTCCATGCAACGTAGAGTGTAAGGGCCTCGTCCTATAAAGAGATTAGCTTCATATGATTCTCGTTATTTTGAATAATCAGGCGAGAGCTGCTGCGGAAGCAGCTGATGGCGATCAGGAAGAGTAATGCATGGCACAATCATGTTTTGTTGATCTTCTCAGAAAACATCTGTTGTGTTATACCAGCGATGTTCCCTCAAGTTGTATAGTTTTCTCGATTCCACATGAGCGATAGAGAGGGTGAGCTAGAGGTACAGAGACAGAATCAACACCTCAAGGTTGACTACAGTAAGCCGTACGCTAAGAGACGACCGGACGAGCCGAGAAGTCACTACGCTCAACGGCTCAAGTTCATCAACGAGCTCATACGCGGAATGGGAGACAGTAAGGGCATGGGCGTCTCGTGTTACTTCTCGATAGAACCGAATTGATTTGAAGTCTGTTGAGATTGCAGTTCGAAACGTCGGTGTGACTACAGGCATTCGTTTGTCATCAGCGGCATTAGCAACAGTGAGTTGACGAGTTTTCTCGCCTTGTTGGAAGATGATGTCGAAGAGGTCGGCCAGCCGGCAGTCTTATTTGGTATCTCGTTCATCATTTTTTTGGATATTTCGATCCATTATTTGTCCAAGTTGGCCACCATATTCCCTGTCAGGTCTTTCCGATGAGCGAATAGACGTGCTCAGCAACTGCTACACTAATGTGAAGTTCCTCAACAATAAGTATCATCCGGAAATAATGGAGATTCTTGCGAAGTATGATCCCGATGTTGAGAGTGTAATGAAGAGCCGCCATAGTATAGCACACTGGAAGACACCATTGGCCGAGAAGGAACAAACTCCTTAGGACCCAGTAAATTACGTCTCGCGTATTGGTAGGTGGTGTTAGGAGTTATGAATGGTGTGGTATGGAAATGCACGGTCTAAGCTTCCCTTTTTTCCATCATGGTCGCCAGTGACATTGTGATATCTTCTGGAAGTAGCAGTGGTAGAAGTCAAGCGCCTTTAGCTGTACTCACGGATATCTACCATCAGCGGAATAGGGAACTCCGCAGACCATTGCCTCAAGCACCGCGGAGGTAAAGTTGGGATTGCATAATCTTCGATTCGATTTCAACTGTGAAAGTTATCTTCGAATACGCTATGAAGAATCGCTGGAATCTCGTGATATACCGGCGTCCACTGGATCTGTATCAGAGGTACATCATAGTCGATTCTGAAGTCGAATGGAATCCTTGATCAGCGTAGTAGAGGTAGTCTCTGAATCCTTCTCGATGACTTGAGCATGATGGATCTATGATGTTTACTCTCGCTCTCCAACTTTCAATGGTAAATTATCATCATTCAAAATAGGGCTACCTCGTCGTTGTTATGAAACTCGACGAGTACTCACAGTGTTTTTCACTCAGGTGGAACTCGCCGACTTATCAACCGCCTCTTCGTCGCATCGAGTCCGCTCCTATCGTGGCTCGAGGCCCTGCGACAGCCTTAGAATTGGCGTCATATAGCATGCGCCATGAACATCTCCGTCGCTTTAACGTAACCGAAAGGATTTCTCTTGGTCCTATACTCCCCTTTTAGTCTTATCAGCCCAGTCGTCGCGTAGCAAGACAGCAGGAGGCTTCTGGTATCCGAGGCTCGGCAGGACTCAGGGATGCAACTATGTGAGTCACCATTAGTCCTCCTATGCTGTCGAGTGACGGAGCTACCTTGAAGATTCACTTGCTTTCAGAAAAAATATGAGGGTATCTCATGCGAACCACTCAGCGAACCCGCCACCTCGTCACCTGCGCCCTTCAAAACAGGTATGCATTACTAACGTCTGGTAGAGCTCACTAAATTTCCTGCATTTTTGTCAGAGGCGCACTGGCCGGTACCAGTCTTTGAAGCCGTTGCCGGCTCTGGTCGAATCGGACAGATCCTCAAGGAGCACCGGCAGCAACTCTACTGATGCAGTATCGACTTGGAGAGACCAGGGGGACGGTCTTGAGTCCATGCCAGTTGAAGGTCTGATTCGCCCTATAGTTACGTACACACATCACTGTGGATGCGGCGGCTATGTCTTTCGTAAGGACTTATAGTCTTTTAGCATTGGTGGCCTTGTAAATGTCGGAGCAAAGCTTGCGTTTTTTTCATTTTTGTGACTCGCCTGATCCATCTCTGTTGAGGACCATGCTCGGAAACAAGTTGACTCGTCTCCACAGTCGTGCCTTACTGTCTTTTTCTGTTCTCTTCTTTCAACTCTGTGTGACCTGTGACGCCCCATCGTGATATAGGTAAGGCTGCTGTGAATAAATAGATATCCTGAAGATCTCGTACTCGTACAACCGGTCAGTGTGATCGTTGTCATGTTTGCTGATCGTTACCGTGCTATTGATGGTTATTAGACTGCTGGTCGTTCTCACGCTGCTCTTTGTCATACTCTAATAGTTCCTCCACGATTTTAAACGGTAAGTCTCCGATCATCGGAGTCCGATAAGGGTGCGAATATTTCCTCCGATCTGTTAATCTAGTATATCAGCTGTGTGATTTGCGTTTGCTCAAGTGAGATTGGGAGACATGGTGACTGTGAGTTCGCCGAGCTGCAGGCATCACTGTGGCATCCTAAAACACGGCAAGTGAGGGCAAGTCGCACCTTCTGTATGTCGTGTAAATTGGCGTTACTTCTGTTGTGCCGACGAAAAGGGTCTCCGCTCGTCGTTCGCCGACGAGTTTCAGGGAAGAAGGAATTTCTTGGAGTGGCATAGCTGCCCCGCCCAGAGGAATCGGTTGTGTTGACACATACCTTGGGATGGCATAGCCGCCCCACGCCGACAACTAAGCTGTATCAACGGAGGCCTTGGGTGTGGCATAACCGCCCCGGACAGGGAAATGGTTTATATTGACGCATACCTTGCGGCTGCCCAGTTGCCCCACCACTGGTGGACTTGAGAGTGACCATTGATTTGTCCTAGCAGGACAAATTCTCAATATGCTGAACTCGCTTGTGAGGTTTGTGACTAGTGAGATGGGGATGGTTCCTAACAAGTAGTCTCGTCATCTCCTTATCTTTTTTGTACTTTGGAAAAAAAGGATTGGGCCTCGAGCTCACAGTGTTTGGTCCTTTCTCACATTCCCGGCCAATTACCGAGCTGACAGGAGGATGTCTCTCGAGGCTAAGGAACGAGTCTTGATGTGACATGCGAGTCGCATGATGCGACGGGAATTTCTCTCTCGCGGCATCTGGAGTTGACTGCAAGTATAGGGTGACTCGGGTTTGGAGAAGTCAAGACTCATGAAGGCTTGTTTATGGAACGATACGACGCTGTTGCGCGTCTTTGTCGCAAGCAAGCCCTTATTCGCATTCCTTCGATCAGTACATTCTTCTATCCACGACAAGTCATCAGCTACGAAGATAGAGCTGACCATGACCCTTTCTGGAATAAATGCCCGCGTTTCGTGCATCACTCACAGGAACTGTGATCATTAAGTTGAATTGCGAGAGCCTCGGATGAACTCAACATGGCAACAGTTGACGGATGATGTATTACAAGCCTGTTCTGGCTGGACTGAAATCGATAAACATCCTAGACCCGCTAGGAGCAGACGACTGGGAAGGATCTTCCACCCCGAATATTCCATCCTACGGAAAAATGTGCGAGTAACGCAAAGAGTTGTCGAATATAGCGGCAGAGCACATGAACATTCCTGAATTGAAAGGACGAAAGTCTAGGGTCTAATCCACTGCAGCGTTTCAGACTTTTGCTGGATCTTCCTCGGTAACCTCTTCCTTCCGAACAGCTTCGAGCAGTTCTCTATTAGCCTTAGCGACTCGCTTGAAGTAAGGCATGAGTGCTAAGCATGCAGCTGCTCCGATGCTGCACAGCGCGATGAGAACTAGATAAAAGTATTCGTAATGGGCTCCCTTGTGAGATATCACAGTCGGGTTTGCCGGATCGAAATTGGGCAACCACGGAGCACATAGCTGGAAGATCACTCCGGAGAGCGCATATCCAACGGCGAAGAATAACAAATTCACCGCCGATGCGACTGCCTTCAACGAGCTTGGTGACAATGTGAATGCAATCTCATAAGATGTTGAGATGAGGAAAATCTCGCCTGCTGCAACGAGCCAGAACTGCACGACTTGCCACCATATCGACACAGTGAAAAGTGGTCTTGACTTGATCTGTAGTTCGACTATGAGGGCGGATACCAATGAAACTACACCGAGAACACTTCCAATGAAGGACCTCAAGAGCACCGATAGTACAATACCACGCCTCTTCAAGAGTGGGTAGAGAATGGAGCTGATTAATATAGAGTTGATCACGACGGCGATCGGGTCGACATTTTGCATCAGTGCAGCAGGGATCTTCCAGTTGAACAACCGCCTGTCCATCTTCTGTGCTTGTGTGAGGTAAGCAGTGGAGAGATTGACGTAAGCAATAACGAAGGGGATAATGAGTGAGAATAATGGAATCAAACGGAGCAATGCTTTCACATCTTCTATGAACCCATCTTCGAACTGACCTCCCCGAGTTTTCTTGTTCTTCTCCAAAGAGCACTTCTTAATCGCATTGAACATCACTTGTAAGATCTTGAGGACTGCTGAGCCTTGAGGCTTGGGTTTAACGAATCGGCCAAGAAGACCGCCGCACACAAAAACGACAGTAGCCACCACGAATGCCCCCAGTGGGATGGCGAAAGCAGCTGTAAAGTTAGCCTCTTGCAAAACGATCGGTGTTGCGATACCTCCGATCAGCGAGCCGACATTGATAGCCGCATAGAAGTAGGTATAGTAGCTAGTGAGGCTTTCTTTGTGATAGTCGGGGTGGAACTGATGCGCACCCATGACATTCACGCAGCTCTTAATACCGCCACCACCGAGAGTGATGAGAACGAGCACAGACAAATGGATCATCCACGGTGCACTGATGCTCTTGACCGTCGATAAAAGAAGTAAGATCAGACCTATCATATACACGACAGAAAAGGACAAAATGGTAACATACACACCCAAGATGGTGTCAGAAAGCACCGCGGCGAAAAGCGGTGTGACATAAAGGATTGCCTGGAACGTTGCTATATAGGAGTTAGCTTCAGCGTCAGTGTAGTTCAAGTACTCCTTGAAGAAAGTCTGGGCGTTGGGCGTTATCCCGAAAAAAGCTAGGCGCTCACAGAACTCCTGCAAAAGGATGAAGATAACACCGTTGAGCATGGGCCTTTGGTAGTAGTGGTATATATTCCCCGACGAGTCGGTCCAGGACAAAGAATCTCGCTTGACAACCATGATAGGTTAAAAATAAAATCTGGAGAAAAAATCATGGAAAATTTTCGGACGACGACAATGCATTTATTCTCTGCATGAATAAGTACACACATATACTGTAGGTCTCTCCGTGCCGTGTACGACGAGCCACTCAACTCAGTGTCTCTGCGTCAAAGAAGAGCCATCTCGAGTGACCCTTGGAGGAAAGGAGTCTCTCCACGTCACGCTGTGCTGCACGCGTGTGCATCCTTTCAGAAGACAGACGTGCATAATCTAGTTGATAATCTCAAGTTGACGATCCTTGTACTTCAGAACTTGTTGGCTGTATCGGGCTCCTCAGATATGGATGACATGATCATACCATCATTGCCTTCCTAGCTTCACTTTCGTCCAGACTTCTTGGCAAGCACGCATGCGTTCAAACATCATGCGTGAACTTAGCTTATTACCGGTCACTGATAGTGATCTGAGCTCACCCATTGATAATCAGTGAGATACTGAACTACGCAACTAGTGAGGGCCTCACTGAGAGGCCTTGAGAAAACCGTTCGAGGCGAAATCATCCTACATGGCTAGTTTTCATGGTTTACCTATCTGATGCGCCGATCGACCTTCACGAGTTACATTACGACTCTCCCGGAGCATAGTTATGAATCATTACTATATACTGACAACGGTTCACAACCACGAATAGACATGACATCATCCCGGTGGCGAGCCGACGAGTCGTCGTTGATGGATTCTGAACTGGGAGCAGGTTTCAGAACCGGTTTCCCAAGCAGATCCAGGAAGAAACCACTTGGACTCGGAAACTGGTATAGTTCAAGACCTCCCACGAATGCTTACCCACTCATTATTTATTCCCTCATGACAGTGTGCGTGTGATTCACAATTTGATCAACAGGGGAGATGATGTATTAACTAGTACAGATAGTTTGGTTGTCAGCGGAGCTGAAAGAGTATCATCACATATGATCAGGTCAAAGTGATGAAATAAAATTTATTCATCATCAACCAAATACATCTATTCTCTCAGCGCCCAGTGCTAGGAAGTTTTAGATCAACGCGCGTTAACGCTCATTCTAAGTGAATGTCAATAATAGTATTGTCATCATCGGAGTTGAACAATGAGCTGTCTGTGTAACTATGACTAAGAATTCATCTTAGGGAAGCCCCAATCTATGAAGGGAGTTGTCTTCACTCAGCTCAACAGTTTAGTAGTATTGTTGGCGATCTCTCAATGAGAGAACAGCCCGAACGAGCGATTGTGGGTCATAGCGTTTCGATGACGTCTGCGCTCGCCATGGTGATCGATGAGTTAAATTGCTTCAAAAAATGCGCCCTCTGTGGATAGAACCGCGATGCCTACCTCGGAGTGGCATAGCTGCCCCGCGCAGCGAAATAGGTTGTATTGATGCATCGCTTGAGGTGGCATAACTGCCCCGCGCGGAGAGATAGGTTGTATTGATGCATAGCTTGAGGTGGCATAGCCACCCCGTGCAGAGGAAGAGGTTGTACTGATGCATACCTTGGGGTGGCATAACTGCCCCGTGCAGAGAAATAGGTTGTATTGTTGCGTACCTTGGGGTGGCATGACTGCCCCGCGCGGAGAGATAGGTTGTATTGATGCATACCTTGGGGTGGCATAACTGCCCCGTGCAGAGAAATAGGTTGTATTGATGCATACCTTGGGATGGCATAGCCACCCCGTGCGGAGGAAGAGGTTGTATTGACGCATACCTTGGGGTGGCATAACTGCCCCGCGCGGAGAGATAGGTTGTGTTGATGCATAGCTTGAGGTGGCATAACTGCCCCGGCAAGAGAAGTGGATTGCACTGAGGTATATCCATTTAGCTCATGTTCACCTTCAACGTTCCCGATATCGAAACTTGTAACTTAACACTGCAGCGAAATCCAGTACGAACACACTAGCACGATGTCATGGCGTTATCGTTCTAGACTCATCTCTCTCATGAGCGAGCTGAGCTGCTTCTGAGTTGCTGCTGCCGGCGCTAGAATACGGTCGTAGTATCTTGAATCCGACATTGTGCGAATGCCAATACCGGGAGATACCCACTCGTGCCTCGGGACAGTTATAGAGGAAGTCGAACGATGTGAATGCATCAGAGAGCTTGAGTGTCCGATCGCCTGCGTAGTCGACGCTGATACGCCGTGCCTGAGTGAACCAGTGAAAGTGTTGGCTATCAAACACCCAAGTCTAGCCGAGAATGTGAGTAATACTTAGGATAATGCATAGCATTTACAACTTCGTTCATCTTCTTATAAAGTTGGCTTATCATCTCACGGTGCTCGAGTCTGTCAGCGTCCAGGCTCCTGCGTATAACTTCGTCGACAAGCCTGAGCGAGCACAGCATTGCTCGAGTCGAGCACCTCGACTCCTCTTGTGAGTCCTGACCCTCGGATGTTCTTCTGCAGTTTGTGATCGCTCATCAATTCTTCTTGCTTCTCTATACGCATATTGAGCTCTATCAAGGACCCCATGATCCGCCGTAAACGGTCAGCGGTCTCTGCAGATTTCGAATCAATCTGAGGGGTCATCAACTCGTGTGCAATCTAGAGAACCACAACATCACTTCTCCCTTGATGGACTCAATCTGGTTCTTTATCCTTTCCTCTGTTGATGACTGTACGCTCTTGACGTGGCAGTCGAGCTGTAATGTGAACACTGTCAAACAATGGTCGAGTGTTTCTCTCACTTCCTCTGCAATGCGCATCAAGTCCGACTCGAAACCTCGCATCATAGAGCCGCGCGATTCGGCAAGATTATCTGCCGTCCGTTTCTGAGGTAAATAATCGAAGACTCACTCGTCTCAGTGTTTACTTCCAATTCGGTCATCTGTTCTGTAACGAACTTGCTGTTATTCGTGGAAAGTGTATTAACTTTCTCCTGGTAGTCCGCCTGTGCAATCAAGTCGCAAGCCAGGAAGACACCACATCGCTCACTAGCGTTTTCTCCATCTCCGCATTCTGCGTCACGAGACTCTTCAGCTCTCGCTGGGCACGGACGAGTTTTTCTAGAGTCTCTCTGTTTTCTGCTCGAGCGCCTTGCAATTCGTTCCGTGTCTAAACATGCTCGTGAGCGACCGATATCGATTCGTCTGCCTACGCTGTCCATGTCATTCCTAAGCTCGGTCGTGAAGGACTCCTGTAGCTCATCGTGACGTTCACGCAGGCTGGTCATGCTTGCTTCGACTACTCTTGAGAGCTCTCGCTCCTACCGCACGCCATAGAAATTACTTCCCCACAAGCGTACTCCTCAGTGATAGGTTTGAGGAATTGCACTCTTTTATAGAATATTCGACGTTTCAACTTGTCAGCACTTTCAAGGTTGAGAGTACTGCGGTTGCGTATTGGTGAACTCACCATGCGACGCATCTCAGCTTGGCTCTTCTTCCCCTCTGCATTAACGTGTTCTCTGAAACGCTGTGTCTGATCATTTGCGAACTCGAATGCTATAAGACATGATGCGTGTCTACATCTTTCCTGTTAGATTTCATTTCATCTCGGAGAGCATCGACTCGCTCGTTCATCGTTTTCAGACTATCTTCTGCCTCAGATCGCAAGGACGCGAGTTGGGTGTCAAAATTGAGAGCTACAGAATGACAATGCATGACAGTTCATGCGCGTTGTGTAGCATTCTAGAATAACAAAGAGAGACCCTCAGAGCTTAATAGAAATAGCGTGGGAAAGATTCCCATGGTGAAATGCACATGTGTCGGTGGAAGAGTCTTCCAGGAAGACATAAAAATTTTGAGACAATTCTTGTTGATTTCTGAACACTCCTGCCCTGATTCGTATATAAACTCCAATAATAAGTGAGGAAACTCCTGAGCTCGGGTGAGGAGAGCGAACATACATTCCTCCAACACTGAGCAAAAATGATACGATCGAATAGCCCCACAGGCGCTCGCTAACCTGCGAGCTTCCTTTCGACTTGTTCCAGTTTAAGTTTCATTTCAACATCGCATTCCCGCGGGGCCGATCGTTCGCGACCTACAAAAATGTCATCTGATAGTGAAAGAATTCCGTGGCCCACTCGAGAGCTCGTCAATGATTTCAGATTTGAGCTGTTGCAATCTGTCTTCGACGTGTGTTAGCACCTATGCGTTGAATGAAGTCACACAGGCATCCTTCCTATGCTGACCTGTTGCTTAAGACGACCAGAAAGGAGTTGGTCTTCCCCTGGTCGAGGGAGTGTGGACGCAGACTCTGTTTCTTCCAGACGAGATGACAAGTCGTTCAGAGTTGCTCTAAGGGGGTCCAGTGCATCGGTGAATCTCTCAGTGCTTCTCCTGAATAAACGCTGAGGATATTAACTCATCGGGAAAATAGCCTGCTGAATCGCCATAGACAATTCAGTGGGAGTAATCAAAGTATCAAGAACCGTCTAGGAACAACGCTGGTGTGATGAAATGGTAAACGTCGTTTTCTAAGCGAACTAGTGGAATTTCACAGTGAACATCTCCTCTCACACGCCGTGTGATGCCTCACGGTCACCATAAAAAGGATACGAAAATCACAGACGTGCCATCAAACCTGATCGAGCTTTCAATTTTTGATATTCGTTGGTTCATATCGGCCTCCTTCTTGCTGAGTCGATCGCCAAAATCAGCGGTGCACTT